CTCTTAATTTAAGCGGATTTCGTTTTGATTCAAGCAAAAATCCGATTGAATCAAGAGTTTTTTTCTTGTCAATGTTTCCAAGAGTTTGGGATCTAGATCCAATGTGTTTTTTTTCCAGTGTATTTTGAAATGGGAACCACTAAGTAAACGGAGTACGGAAATTCCTCCAATTTCTAAACTGAAGAAGTATCGGAAGAGTTTTGAAAGAATTATTTAGTTAGCCAAACAAAAGCAGAAGTGGAAAATGCCGACAAATGCCGTCACAAAACCCAACAATATAGAATGAAGAACAACTTAATCAGCCAAAACTTTTAATAAAATCACAACTTAATTTGGGGGAAATTAAGGCTGTAAAACACAGAATATAAATAAAAAAAAAGCCAGAAACGTTTCGAAATTTTACAATTTCACTATCAAACGCTACGTCATTAATTTTTTTTGGTGCTTTGATTTTGCTGCACTGGGCCAAGTCTGTTTACCTTGTAATCAGTCTATGTCTCGCAATAATAGCGAATCAACGATTCGTTTTTATATTTTTTTCTCCGGTTGATAATTAAATTGTAACGTTTTGAAACATTTTTGGGTTTTTGTATTCCTCCTCTGTTTTTTGCAGCCTTTCCCCAAAATTAAGCTGTTATTGTATGACGTCACAAAGCGATTAATTTTCCCACTTCGGAAATTTCGTTTTATACTTTCAACATCCGAAAATGTAAACATAATATCTCTTGTGGTGTTCGTAGGTCAGTGTTCAACACTAACTTTAAACACTAGTGTTCAACACTAATATTTTTCGTTAAAACTGCGTTCACCTGTTACGCGGACAATAATAACTCTAAATAGGTCCGTTGAGAATAAATATGGGTTCAAATAACTTCAAGTGGTAGCTATCGACTGGTTCAGTAGGTTTTAAACATATTTGATATTCCTTTAAAAACACCCACTGAACACAAGCCGTCAATTCTTGCATTTCCAAGCAGTTTCCGCGACGGGCATCCGGCATATTGTGTCTCTTAACATTTAGGATACAACTATTCGTACTTCATGGATGTGCGCGTTGCATAGCGACAATTTGAAGGCGTTTTGGTTCTTGCCGTATGACCCATAACGACAGCAGTGAGCTCCATTTGCCGCTTCCGACTATTAAAGTGGCGTGCGGTGTGCCCACCTACGGCAGTTTCATAAATTACCAAAAATGATTGAATAATACCATAAAACTCTTCATAAAAACTTATTTTTTCCCTTACATCTTCACAGACGCAATATCTAAAAAGGATTCACTCACCGTAATTTTCAAAAGTTTTTCCAAGAGTCTCTTCAAAGCGCTTTATAACGATTGCTTTTGGAAGAAATGCATTTCCCAGCCACAGACCAGAAACCGTAACCCCTTTTCCGATCTCGCTGGACTATCCCCCCCCCCCCTTTCATTTTCTGCGTGGATGGGAACGCGATAAATTCTCGATCGAGCGGATAACAGGTGGACTCAGAAACTACCAGATTTACGGTACCCGTCAGGCTCTCGGCGCTATCTCGCGGATTAAAGGTAAATCCCCGAGTTCACAAATCACGGAGCGACACCGTAATCGGGCAACTTTTAATTGATTTTCGAGCCGTAAACAGCGCACCTAATAGGGCTTCAGCTGCCCTTTTTTTAACGACGAGCACTTAACAGCGTCGCCTTGTTTCGTGGATTTTTCATGGTTTTGCTGGAAGAACAAATGACCGCTGCACACGATACAACTTTAAGCATTCTGATTGTTTTCCTCATTAGAATTTCACGTGAAATACGATTTGTACAGCGGAAATGGAGCATTTGCCCACAAATTTTTTATCGCTTCATCTGAAAATGATAGATGAGCTAAATTCGCAGTATTTTTTATATTTTTTTTCTGATTTGGGAAGTAGTATAAAGAATCGTTTAAAAGTGAGAAAATGCTCCGCCGAGTGACGTCACCTGGCGGAATTTCTCATTGAATTTCTCATATGCATTTTCAGAGATTGGATCCTTTGGTCATATATTCTCCAACAGTTTTTTTTTTCAATTTATAAACCATGGATATCCTCCTCTTCAGTTCATTCTATGCTTCTCACATAAACACAAAATTTATCAAAATTCAGACACCAGTAAATTCTCCATTATGAAAAGTAACTCCAAATCAAGATATGAATGTATTTCGATGTATAAATTCAAACTTTTCCCTCATAGAAAAAAGAATTACTCTACTTGGGTCGAATTGCACACGCAACTTTATACCGTGACAGTCTTAGCATTATGAAAATATAAAAACCTCAGTATCGACGCCTTGGCTCAGCTATTGCTACTGCACGTTATTTACACTTTGAACGACACAGGACACGGAAAGAAAAGTGTCAGGGGTTATCCCCTAAAATTGTGGCACTACCCCAGTTTGTTGGATGATATGGATATTTCTAATTGATTGTAGTAGTACCGCAACGTGAGGGTAGTACCGCAATATTTGAGTTGGTTACCTAATTTATTGGGGTATTACCATAACTAATTGGGGTACTATACCTTAATTAATTGGAAATATGTCCATATCATCAAACAACCTCGTGCTTTTTTTCCGTGGACGGAGAAGGAACACCATTCTTTGAGAGGTCAGCCAGAACAAGCATAGTGCGAAATTCAATTCAAGTAGACTCTCGTTTTTTATTAGCAGGAGATTCGAATTTTTCGTGACCAATGCCAAATGAGAAAGTTATATAATATTTCTTGGTTTGCAGTAATTTTTAATGCGCGAATCGTGTTCTACGTGATCGAAGTTTTGAAGAGGAAGCATGTACCAGAATGCTTAAATGTTTAACTTGTCTACTGGTCCATTGTAAGGATGCGTGCCAATTCCCTAAAAAAGTGCGCTTTTGCAAACAAAACTACAAGGTATTCTGGACATATTTATGCTAAAAGGAACTAAATGTATGTTGCCTGCAAACCTTATGCATATAGTTCCTTTCAGCATAAATACGTCCTTCTGATGGTCTGAGAGTCGGACGATATTTAGTGACAATTTCGTGAAACAAGTTTTGACCACTCAAATTGATAGCCTTACATGGACTGACATAGAAAACAGTCGTCTACAAAATTGTAGCGTGTAGTGTGTGCCATTACGTGGCAGATAAAGATTTTCCATGTCAGCGCATATTTAAGCGGTCAAAACTTGGAACACGATTTTGTCACTGAATATCGTCTGGTTCTCAGCTTATGAGTTCCATCTACAAGCTCCCATTCCTGAAGAATATGCGGCCGTTGTGACCAGATAAAATGCAGAGAAAATAGAGGTATGACTTGGAATTTTGTTTATGATTTTGGCTCTTGCTCTATTGATGAAATCTTTAAGTGCTGAAACCCCTTACTTAATTTGTGGAGACTACTTTGTGAGAAGTTTTAAACCGCGGTTGATAAATCGCCTTATTGGCGAAAAGAAGATAACTATTCACGCGAGTATACTTTTTTGCCTAGCCTACAATTGGAAGGCGCATTTTGCCCAGTCGATTTTCGTCGATGTCTGGGTTAAGTCACTGCACTGCCTCCTAGAGAGGTTGTAGATATTTCTTAGCCTTCCTATTGTTCAACTTGCTCATTTCTCTCACAAACCAATTTTTCTTAAGTTTTTTGAGACCAAAGTCAATTTCCGCAGTAATAGCAAGTTGAAAAGTCATGGATCTTGAAACGAAGTAATTTTTATTGTAAAATTCGTCAAACGAAACAAAAAATTAAAGTCTGATGGATTCTGTTTTTCTGTTATTTTATTAGACAAATTTGTACAAAAACACCTGGGTTTTCAAACATTTGAGGATTAAGTGACCTCGGGTTTTCAAAAGTTATTTGCCTCAAGCTGATGGGCAAATCTTTAGGATCAGACTCACACTCAATTTAAAATATTAGAATATTTTAAAAATAATATTAGTAAAAATTTAAAAAATAATATTAGTGCATTAAAAGTGTGAAAGCTTTGATCTAGCAAACAAACGTCTACGATTAATAAGCCTTGGGCTTCTGAAATACCTATTATAAAATCGTGTTTCTTTCAAACTAAAAGAATTCTTAACAGTAATAAAACATGTAGACGAAATATTTAAATACGTAGAAGACCTACGTATAAAAAGATTCCCTTCGGTATACGTGAAAGACAAAATTTTAGGCTCACATTGAGCTTGTAAAAATACATGAACAATTTAAAGCACCAAATAATTGATTTTGATTTACAGGTTATGAAGCGCACAAATTACAAACATGTTTTAATAAAATGCAAGGTATGACACAAAAACCAATATATCATATTCTCTCTAACATTTATTATTTGTAAAATTCAAATAGAGACATTTATAGTTTCGCATTGGACTGTTTTTCCTTCTATAAGTCATGCCCCTTGAAGAAACCAATAATGAGGCTACCTCATCATCAATCATGTGTCAAGTTTCTGTTTTGTAGATACTAACAATAATTACATCACAACAATTTAAAAAAATAAACTATATTTTCTCGCGTATGATTCATACCTAAATTGAATTAAAGCATTATCGCATTAGGCTAGGAACTGTAAAATAGGTCATAAAACATACGCGGAATCTGTAAGGTATCAATGAGGGGGAAAAAAGGTTAATCACTAACCAGTCTCAATTTTGAGATTGGACTTCTCTCCGTTTAGAAGCGAAATCAATGCACCTACAATTTTAGCGCACAAGTTCAGAGACATGAGAATTAAAAAAATATATATATTTTTCCGTGTAGAGGAATAATCATAAGCCATGGGCCACAAGGAAAATAATCATTACAAGTATCACGGGAAATCTTTTCGTTGGACTGAAGGCACAAATTTTAACAGGTAGGTATTTTGAATTTTTAGCATTCCCTACAGCTCAGTTGAACAAACTAAACTGATTTTGAAATATTTTAAAGTGATAGTTTTCATATACACACTGCAAACACATTTTTGTTAGAGCTTATTTTTTTTCTTTCCTTCGATATAATACTTAGTAACTCATAGGTAAGAGATTGCTGATCATTTGAATTTATTTAAAAAACCGGGCCAAAAACCATGAGGACAGGAACTCCGAATGATGACCTAATATATAATAATAACTTTTAGAGAGTAATCCTTAAGAGTAGTTTAAAAGTATTTTTTAAGTATCAATTTCGATTGTTCTTCTGGCTGATAAATGCTTAGGAAACATAACACCTAATTCAACAATATTGATGACATTTTTACAGAGTACTCAGATTATTTTGTTTATATCGATGGCCAGAGTGCGAAACCACGTATCTCCTTTGCGATGTTTCATAATCTCCGCTCTCATTTTATTTCATCGTACGGAAACAAGACAGTTATAGATTGAAATTTATACGAGATATTCCTCTAACAGAGAGGAAAAATTAAGGAAATTTTCAAGAAATTGCGTTAATCAGTTTTCCAAGGAAAAAATAAAGTATGACAGGAAGTCTGCAACGTCACAAACAAAGATACGTGATTTTGCACTTTGGCCATTCATACCCATCTTCATAACGCCTCTACGAGTTTTTCACGACTTTTTTTTTGAATGATCACTGCCACTGGAAAAATTCCCCGTTCCATTTTACTACGCCCAAAGCATGCGGCATGAGCGATCAAAGGTTTCAAATAAAACTACGAACAATCACAAACACATTCAGCGCAATCAGCGCAATCACCTCCATCACAACATCCATCACCGCAACAATCACCATTGCCTGCATGACTTCCACCGCCCCCACAACAGTCACAAAATCCATCATGATCACTTGCTCCATCCCCGCCACTGCCAACAGGCAAAAAACAACCCTCACAACATCCATTGGAACTATTTCTAACCCCCACATCGGAATCATCATCCGATGAACAGCAACATTTCTGACATACATGACACGTGCACCAAATACAGAGACATGTTCTCCCAGCTTGGGTGCAAAGCAGACAACCAAGGAGCGCAAAGATTATGAACAACGCGCATGTGACCGCGAGGATTTGCATGGTGTTTGGAGCTGCAGTTTGCATCATTGCCTCGGGAGCAGGCGCTGAACCCCACAAGCCTCCTTTACATCTGATATTCTTTACGAGCATCTTGATGGTGTCACTCGTCAGTAGTACCTGCTCATCTACTGAGTCATGTGAATCCGTCAGATCCAATAGAGTGTCGTTTTTTATTAACTTCACAGCTCCAACTATTTTTTGATAATCCTCTTTTCTACTTAAAAATGATCCGATCATGCTCCCTGGTTGCTCGCTACAATTGCACGAACAACTGTCGAACGTTTCGCAAGACTTTCGAGCACTGGCGAATAGTGTCTCTCTGTTGTCAACGCTCACTTGATAGTCTCCAAATGTCCCCCTTTCCGGCCGTCCGAACTCCGAGCTTTCAACGGGATAAAAATCGTCCCCATATTTTAGCAGCGAACGAGGTGCAGCCTTATCGAACTCAGATTCGTTAATTTCTAAAGTCACATCGTCTTTTGAGTCCATCCCTACATTGTCGCATTCAGAGGAGACAATATGACCTTGTCTTGGAGAATCTAATCTACTGAGATGAAATTTAAGCTGTCTTCGGTTTGACGATTGTCTCCACACACCTGACAACTTTCCTTTTTTTCGTGCTATCGCATAATGCGCGCATTTTCCTCCGGATTGATCCTGGCATTCTTGACATACATTTTGAATTGTGTCACTGTGCGGTTTACCGGTCAAAAAACAAGATGTCTCTTCATTGACGGAGAGAGTATCATTCCCTTTCAAACACTCGTGCGGCGCTGTACATAAACTGAGCTCATAGTCAGCTGTGTAATATTGTAGTTGGTATCTTGTCTCAAGTCTCACATCTATCAGAGTTAGCGGAATGCGTTCTTTAGAGTCTTCAAAGCATATATTTTGCCCCTTATGCATTGTGAGTGACTCAGGTCTGATTCCGTGCGATAAAATCTGTACTGCTAAGTCACACGAGCTAACATACAATGGCAATGCAAGTAGAGTAATGATCAGCCCAAGCAGAGAAATTTTGTCACGAGGAAGAGCTCTGGCGCTTTTAGAGGTTTGACGCCTACTTCGATCTTCATTTTCACCAGTTTCACCTGTTTGCTCGATTGCAGAAAACATGATTGTTACATGAGCTCTCCAACTTGAAGGCGTTCGACATGCAACCGTGACCAGAAAAAGACAAAACGCACCTGAAAGGAACTTATTGTGTAGAGATTCTGCTCAGAATCTTAGAATACTGTTTGTAAGCCGGCATCAACCATTGCGATGTCTTCAAAATTTTCAATTGACGAGGCTGAAGGATTTGGAGCTTGAAGTTACTATCCATCCACTCCTTGGCGCATCAAACTCCTGAAACATGCAATAATTTAGGATGAGCATAATTGAGAGAGTAGTACCGTATGCTAAAATGATTACAAAGGAAGAATCTCGGTAGTATAAAGTTTCATTAAAGGTTATATACTTACATGTTGTTTACATGCATAACTACGAGCCACGCCTAACGGAAATTTGATTTGATATGGACTAAATGTTGCAATTAGGAACTATAAATTCTATCCCGGTTTAAAAAGAACGCATTTACCATTAGTTTCCCTATGCACATAAGTGTTTTTCCAGAAGAGCCAAAATTTATAGTTCTAAATTGCAAAATGCAACCCATACGATCCCACGATTTTAGCTAATTTCTCTTTCTTATCTCGATTAAAATACCAACTTTTATCTTGACATGAACTACGCGGCTCTCATATTTCATGAAATTATAATTTTAGATCATTTTTATGCAGATTTTACGATTACAGTGACAGACATCGAAACTGGACTCTCAAGTGACGGTTATGATCGAAGTGCAAGGAAAATAGTCATTTAAGGTGTTTCTGAAATAAACATCGTCGAGTTGAAGTAATCCACAATGGCTAAAAAAAATGTCTGTGCTATGAAAATATTTATGTGCAATCGTTTGAAAATTATCCATAGCGGTTCTAAATTTTACTCAGACTAAAATTGCATTGGAAATACGCTCAAGTATTTGGAGGTAAAGACGCAAGTGAACGAGTAAATATGATAAAAGTTGTTATTATGTATTTACATATATTTTTCTAGTGTAAACATTATTTTCAGTTACGGTTAAAGATTTTAGAAAAACACATTGAAACACCCAATTAATACACACAAGATTTTAGAGCCAGAATAAGTGGAACACGGCACGGCCCACGATCTTTCCCGCCTCTATTCAAATTCAAAGGGGTCCCGGTTTTGCCGCGAAACCTTCAGCCAATGGGAGGCGTGGCTTTATTTTTAGCCGCGAGCGCTCCGTCTCAACGTCTTTGTCGTATATGTGCACAAGCATTATTCGATGAAAACTTGTAATGCAATCACGCGAAACAATGCTGATTAATAATACCTTAAAATATATGACTAGACGATAGAAACACTCAACCAAAACATGAAGTAACTATATGGCCTTGATAAAAGTAAACAATAGAGTTTATTCTTCATATTCCACCTCACTCTCACAGCGTTGCGAAGAGAAAAGCAGTAGTAACTTTAAAAAAAAATCGAGCACAAGGTTTGAATCAAGAAAATAAATAGTAAATAATGATAGAATCCGAACCAAAACAAGAATTATCACGGGTAACGGGCGACGTACATTCTAACCTCTAAAGTAGCAGCGTTGGACGGGGCACAACACTCCACAAGTTTCCGTTGATTGGCGGCAATTTCAAATTCTAGCACTGTTGCGCTTACGAGTATAACGTAGGAAAGGGATTGTCCCAAGAACGGTTTCTCTTACACCCACCTGTTGATTTCCACCAAATTTTACATTTTGATAGCACTACATTTCATCAGTCATTTCCAAAAATTTTAGCCCCTCCCCCAAATTTTGGGGAGAGGGAGGGGGAGGTCAAAGTTGAAAAATTCGATTGCCCATATCTTTAAAACAGTTGAAGATTTCTCTACCCGGTTTGGACGAAATTACTCCAGAAAAGGTCTTCTTTTATGTCATATCAATTTTTTTTCGAAATTAGACTAACATCTCAGATTTGAGCATATTTTTAAAACAAATTGCAAAAAGGGCAATTTTTTAAAAACAATTGCAAAAAGGGCAATTTTTTAAAAAAAATAATGAAATCTAGAGATAACCGTATTCTTCATTGTAATAAAAATTATGTATATTATTTTGCAATATTCTTTCGTGACATTAGCGTGAACCGCATGTTGGAGAGATTTTCATATTGGGAGTTTGGGAGTTATAACCTCCGGAGCATGGCTATCTCGACCGTGATTAGATCTCGCTCACTTAAATTTTCCGCATCGCTCGGCTCAGGGCTCCGCGGCTCAATTTTTGTGATCGGTGATTTCGAAACTTCACTAATTAGTACTTTGCCTTTTTTAAAAAAATTTTAACCGATTCTCTCAATTACTGATTCAATTCATAANCTTAAAAGCTTTTTTTAAAAAAAAAAAAAAAAAAAAAAAAAAAAAAAAATCCATCTAAAATGTCTCCATCTAAAACTTTCAACTCCTTACAATCTTATAAATTTCCACGTAGAGAAATTTGCAAACGTCAGAAGAAATCATTCTCGTTCCAGCGCGTGCTCATTACCAGTGGCTTGGCGTGAATTGCGAGGTATCGATTGTTATGCCATTTAAACCTATGGTAAAGAATCGATTATTAAGGTGTTCACTGCGAACACCCTGATTATCGATCCTTTTCCATATATTTAAATGACATAACAATCGATTTATAGCAATTCACGCCACGCCACTGCTCATTACATGTACTTACTTAAGAAATTCGCTTCCATTATTAGGGGGCATATGAGCCATGTTGAGAGGTGGATAGCAATATTCTTTTTAAAAGTTATGAGTTTCATTGATATGAACATTGCTCGATCAAAATCCAACCTCTGGATAACTTTTGCCCTTCAGTACCCCCGGAAGGTGCAGATGAACTGGACTACATCTTGCAAATTGGAACTACAATTTCTGCCTCAGTTTAGAAACACCGTACGTGTCATCAGTTTTTCTATGCGCATAACTGCTCTTACAGATTAGCCAGAAATTTTAGTTCTCAATTACAAAATGCAATCCAAGCAAAGCACCCGAATCCTTCTCTTCTGCATTCAAACTAATTGGACTGCATTTTGAAATAAGGAACTACAACACCTGGCTCATGGGTAAAAAACTTATGAGCATAGGAAAACTAATGGTTTATACGTTGTTTCTAAGTTGAGCCAAGATTGGTACTCATCTTCTTGCCTTCTCCTTTTCCCGATCGCTCTTAAAAAGTTATTTTTAGTGATAGCAATGATAGCAATTTTTCGCCAATAACCACGAGTTTGGACCCTGGGCGGCCTGCGCCGTGCTTGCGAGAAACGGACACAAGAAGTTAAAACGCCTTCAATTTCGCACATATGCTACACGCGCATTTATAAAGCTCAAATAATTGCATTCAGGCGTTCAACGAAAGGCAATGTGTTAATAACTAGTAAGAGCTCTCTTCTTCTCTTCTGATTGTTCCTTTTTGCCCTTTGGAAGAAAACCTGGATGTTCTTCTTGTTTTTTTAGTTTTTTTTTAGATACAATTCAAATGATTAAATTTTGAAAAAAAAAGTTAATGAGTAATTTACCAGGATTGTTTTCTTGTGTTTCTGCCATTCGACCAATGTTAATTTTAAACACGCACATCTTGTTTAGAGTTGATTTCCAAACTTTCAAAAATTTGATTTCCTTTCCAAACTTGAGTTGATTGTGTTATTCGTAGTTCTCTTGAAATTTTGAAAAGAATACATGATTGTAAGATTGTCCTTTAATTCATATCTTGTCTAGAGGTCAATTGAACCATTTATTTCCCAAACCACGTAAGCGCCAAAATTGCGAATGCGAGAAAAACAAGAAAACCCGTTTTATTTGCCATGCTGACGTTCTTCGAAATCCAAAAAATGAAATTTTTTTGAAGACTACTCTGAAATCGAATATGATTGATTATACCGGAGAAAATGAAGAAAAATCAACCCCTCCACCACTAATATAGAGATTGTCGCTTACGTGACTTGGAAAATAATCGGTTCAATTATTGCACTGCCTTGTTGATGAAACACACTTCTAAAAATTGTAGACAAAAAATAACACGCAGGCGATTCGATGGACGCCATATTTTGTGTCAGAACGGCATGCGATATATCGCATCAATTGGTTCCATTTTTTCAGGTACTCGTCATTTTTCTCCAATTTTGAGATCGCAGTTC